TACACCATAATACAACTTTATTTATACATTATAAATAATAAATATAAAATACACATATTATTAAAATTATTGTTGTTTAAAAAAAGGTAATAATTTATATACCAAGGATCTTAGTGGCTTGGTTGTTGCTGTTGGTTTGAAATTATGTCGTCAATTCTCGGCTTTATAGAGTTTGTTAAGCTTAGTCTCATGGTTGCTGAAATTTCCAGTCGATTTCTAGTTTTATTTTTTACTGCTGTCAATGTAGAAAATCCGTATTCACATAAATATGTAGTAGAAAATGGAATGAGTACTTTTAATGCTTCTTCTGCCAAACTAGGATATTCAAAATTTTCCTACGTTTTTGTAACTTTTAAAATTCTCGTGTAATCCCATATCTGAACTCAATTCAATCAGTTTCTCTTCATTTGTTTGTGATATTATATTTTGATCTGATTGTACGAACGGGTTTGTTACCCAATTATAATTTTTACGGATGTCTTTAGTGGGATCGAAATATTTGGAAAATTTCTCTTTTAATTTGCATAAGTGTTCTTTAATTATTGTACACATTTCATNCTAAGTGTTCTTTAATTATAGTACACATTTCATTAATTTCATTTTTTGTCAATTTATTTTCATGGATCATATAAAAAAAATTCGGAAACATATCAAATATCTCGTTATTAACTCGATTTGTCCATAGTACAATTTTTTTAAGAAATGCTTCAATTTTGTTGTACGATATAAAAAGATTAGTTTGTGGTCCTTGCATACTTAAATTCAAATCATTTAGAATTGAAAATATATCGGAAAGATATGCAAGTTTTGCTAACCATATATTTTTTTCGAAATAATCACTAAGTGGTGATTTTTTGTCTCTCAAAAATATTTCTACTTCAGTTTTCAGTTCAAACAACCGGGCCAAAACTTTTCCTCTTGACAACCATCGAACATGAGTGTGTAGTAGCAAATTTTTAAAACCTGAACCCATTTCTTCACACATTACTTTGAAAATACGAGTGTTTACGGCACTAGCTCGAATAAAATGAACAATTTTTATAGATACATTTAGGACATCAAATAGGTTTTCGTTCATATCTTTAGCAGCCAGTTGCTCACGATGAATGAAACAGTGAGTTGATATAATGTTTTTATGAGAAATTTTTTGAACACGTGTGACAAGACCATTGAATTTTCCGGTCATGGCTGCAGCTCCGTCAGTGCAGATACCGATACAATTAGAAAATTGTAAATTAATTTTTTGGAAATAAGATGAAATAGTATTAAAAATTTCTTCAGAAGTACAGTAAGTTTTTAAATTTAAGCTACAAAAAAAATCTTCTTGAATATCTTTTAAATCGCTATCTACGTACCTCACATACATTAATAATAAAGCTTGATTATTTATATCAGTAGATTCGTCAAGTTGTATTGCGTAAAATATAGATTTTTTAATTTTTTCAATAAGCTGATTTTCAATATCATTAGACATAATATTTATTCTCCTACTTATTGTATCATTAGACATGGGTATTTTTTTTATCTTAGTAACGTATTCATTACTAAATAATTCTGTACAAATATCAATCATACATGGTTTTAACAATTTTTCCCCTATCGAGTGCGGTTTTTTTGATTTAGCTATGTGTAGGGCTGCCAAATAAGAACATTTTAGAAAGATTTTATCTTCAGTAGTATACGTGTTTATCATTTTTTTATTTTTTTTGAAATCTTTCAATTTTCTTAAAAAAAATTCCCTTGTTTTATTTTTGTACTGAGCATGGTTTGTTTCAAGATGTCTAATGAGCTTATTTGGTTTTAGTGATGCATTTGCCAATGTCATACTACAAATAACACATTGAGGAACATCAGTTCCATTTTCGTTAAAGTATGTAAAACCATATTCAATATAACTATCATTATATTTTAATATTTTTACCTTTTTGAGAGGTGGTTCATTAATTTTGTCGGTAGTTTCCAAATTATGTTTATTCGAATTTTGATCATCTGAAGTCGATTTTTTCGGCGGTCGTTTAAAAAAATTCGTCATTTGTGACTGTTTACTCATGTTGAAGTGTGTATTACTTTACAACGGAGATGTGAACAATGAGCAGCGATTGATATGATCGACGAAGTCAAACAAAATTATCATTTTATCAACCTATTATTATTATTTATCGATAGTAAACGGCCTAACAGTAAGACTTGTTGTTAATAGTGGTTTTCCGTTTTAATTTATATTTAAACTTCTTATACACGATAACATAATATGTTATGTTTTGATACATTATTCTCGTATTATTTAGAATTTTAATATTAATTGATATAAACATTGGAGACTTGTAATTTTTTGTAATGATTTAAATCATATGATAGCGACCCTAAATAACTAGCTCGCGACCCCCAGGTTGAGAAACACTGTGCTAACCCATCCACAATCACTAGCCAGGTTTTGTAAGAACTATTTAATCGTTGTTCTTCCAATGTGATTGCTTATGATGTATTAGAGTCTACCTCTTTAACTGTTTCTGAGAGAGTTGGGTTTAAATTAATTAAGTACATTACATTATCATTAATTTAAGATATATATAAAAGTGTTAGATTTTCCGGAACAATTTCAAAAGTTAAATTGAAAAAGTTCTACTCTCTATATGCATTTTTCAATTTTGAACACCCCCCCACCGTATATAGGAAAATGGTCCGATTCAAAAAAAAAAATGTCAAATGAAAGATGTATATAAATACTACTTCTCATAAAAAATTGTATTGATCCAAAAAATATACCAAATGATAGGTTAAAACATCTAGCATCTATAAAAAAAATTATATTGAATTGGTCATTTATGAAAAAGTTATGAGTTTTAAGAAAAAGAAATTGAACACAATTTCGAATATTAGTGATTTTTAAATTTGTAATTTTTTTGGAGGTTCCCCTTATTTACGGGAAACGAGGGAAATTTTTTCAATTTTTGAGGGTAATGTCTTCGATTACATATGATTTGTGATCTTTTGAAGTATCATTGAAAGAAATCGGTTCGGGGAGAGCTGAGAAAAAGTGGTAACAGACACAAAAAAAAAAAACACATCATAGTAAAAGCAATACCTTCTCAGCTTCGCATCGAAGCTAAAATTACAAAAATGTAGTTTGAAAACAACAAAAAACTATCATTAAATTATTCGATTTTAAGCAGATTTTTACTGATTGTCTAATTCTATATTATATATGTTAAAATTTATTCTCAAACTTCAAATTATTATAGTGTATTAAGCAAATATATCACTAAAAAATTAAAAAAAAATGTTTTGATATTAGATCTCCCAATAGAGATAATGCACCCAGAATACGTGTCTTTTTATAAAATGTCTAACTTTGTAGGCCTCTTAATCCCAAGAAAATAGTTTTAAATAATTGAAATTTAGTTGAAACATAGATTATACACTATAAAATACTACATTTGAAAATCACTATAAAATAAAAACTTCATAATGGTTTTAAGTGAGCTCAAAAACGACAATTTTCACAAAAAAGGGTCATTTTTAGAAAGTCATTAAAGTTTGAATTTTCACTTAATTATTTTTTTTTTAATGTAAACTTTAAGTTATAATTTAAAATTCTAAAACTTTAATTCAATTAAGTTAATATTGAATAATCTGTGTGCTTTTTAACGTTCTGTCTATTTTTAACCTTTTTTACATTGAAATAACCATAAAAATGGGAAGGTCATAAAAATAAAAAAAATTGATTTAACCCAATTATGGCATAAAGAATTAACCCTGAAAATTTATTTCCTTAGAAATTAAAATGTTTAACTTATTTATTTCCGTAGGTTCAGTTTAATAAATGTAGTTAGTGGTTTCGCTAATTTTTTTTTCGCGGCATGGTAGTGTAAGTGCGTATCGTCGGCAGTCACAATAAAAGTACACTGCACAAAGGAAATAAGATACCAAAATAAAATGTTTTAATAAATAGAATTTGTATTTACGTTTTTTTTTTTTTTTGTCGTGGTAGCGGTAAGCAATGACAACGAATTAAATTAATATTAGTTTTTTTTTATTACAGGTATAATCTCATTAATCTTATTATAATAATATTTGAAAAGAAATAAACACTAGTCATTCAGAAAACAATATATATTACATACTAATAATACATAAATGTAAATATATCATCGGAAGCGAGTCGTAACTATATCAACATCGACGGTCGCCTATAAGGCGATAAGACATCTCAGGTTCTGTTAATGTGCAATTTAGGAAAGCACAGTACGGCCATTGTATTGACCTGGGTGATATCCAAATTAGTGGTAGGAATTTTCGTTCCTTTAGTGGAATCGGTCCTTTCGGTACAGTTACTTAGAAGTAACGATTCCAAAGTACTCGGTACACCGGTACTTTTACTTTTTTGTAATTGAGTACCTTCATTGCGACACGTTACCAAAACCAAACCAGTATTTATTCATCATATAAACAGTCGTATCTACGCGAGACGTTAGTAGATACAGTACAAATTTTAAATCCCTGAATACGCCTATGCTATTTACTCATCATATAATATTTTAAAAGTCGCGAATGAATGCTTTTCGGAAAATGTTTAAATAAGAATTTTTTTTTTTTAGCAATATATATACAGAATTATTGATAGGCATAATATTAAACTTTAATGAAAAAAAATACTTACCTTACCACAAAATAAATAAATAACCGTATTTTTTAGACACGTAAAGAATAATGTAACATCACTTAAAATTCGCCTTGACTATTATTTCCTTATTTTAATCAGTTATTTTTACTATTTATGCACAGTTAAACTTATTAATGTATGATGTATATTACTATATTATAATAAATACAATATTAATCGTTCAGTTATGTATCAGAATATATTTGACTATATATGTATTTGTTTATATATACAAATATATTTGTATAATCAACTAGACAAATGAAAAATAAAGTATACATAATTCGAATTATTTGGGCCTAGCAAATATGAGGTATAATCAATCATAACAGTTTAAACTATCATATTATTAACCAATACGTTTAATAATATACTGTTTTTTTTTAAATTATATATATTGCAAGATTAAAAATATCTCCAAAGCAATATTTATTTTAAAAAATATTTTCAATCTTTTCTTAAAATTTTAAATCATTTATAACATAATTTCGTTAAATTATTTAACTATATAAAAAACGTCTTCTAAAATTCTTAATCAAAAATTACTATTTAAAAACAGTAACATTTCTGAATTTTTAACTGTAAGTCTAATACGCTTTTCAGTTATTGTGTATCCCGCTTTAGAAAACCGTTCGCACGGGACAGAAGTTGAAGGAACACATAATCTCAACAATACAAGATTAAATAAGTTAGGAAACATCATTTTCTTCTCATTCCACCATAATAAAGGATCAGACTTTCTTTCTATTATAGGCTCATTTAAATATCAATCTAACTCAATAATCGCTTCACTAGTTGGAGTTTTTTTTGATAAAGTTACCACCTTAAAAAATTAAAATATTTGATTAAATAACATAATAAATAAATAAACTTTTTTGTTGTTATACCTGAGAGTCAAACTGTTTCCAAATGTCTACGGCTTCAGTATCACTTTGACTATTATCGTTTGCGTGGTGCTGTTGTTCTATATCTGTTTGATGTATTTCTTTCTGTTGCTTTGACAAAATAAATCCAGCTACTCGTTGTACAATCTTGTCATAAGTACGTTGATATGTAAAATGATTAACAAAACCTTTTTTTTAAAACGCGGATCTAAAAGAGTAGCTTTTGTAAGAACTGACTGATCTTCAATACCTTGAAATTTTTTTTCGGCTTTGGTGATCATTTTGGCAAGCATTGTATGAATTACTTTGGGTAACTTAATATCATTAAATTTATCTTTAATATGACACAATAATACATTTGTTAAAATTAATATTTTGGATATTGACACATCTCTTTCACTACTTAGTTCAATAATAATTTCTTTAAAGGGTTTAAAAATATCACAATAGTATTGCATTATATCACAGTCTTCATAAGATATATTCTCAATATTACCTAAAATTGCTACTGTAGATATTATTGATTCTTTCATTCGAATATATCTCTCAAACATATTGTACGTAGAATTCCACCTCGTAGTTATGTCTTGAATGAGTTTTAAATCCGTATAACCCATTTGTTTTTGCATATTTTTTTAATTTACTGTAAGCCTGAGAACTACGTTTAAAATGTTCAACTATGCGTTTAACTTTTTTATGGACAATTGTATTGCATCTAATCCGCTTTGAGCAATAGTATTAATACTATGAGCTAAGCAAGGTATATGACACCAATTTTTATTCATATTTATGGCAGCTGTAATATTAGCGGCGCTGTCACTTACTGCAATTTTAATTTTTTCAGTTATTTCCCATTCTTAAAACAATTATTTAAAAAAAATGATAAATTATTTGTCGTATGCGATTTTTCAAAATAATAACATCCTAGTAAAAAAGACTTTAAAGTGCATTCATTTTTGTCAATATAATGAATAGTTAATGCAACAAAACTGTCATTATTAAGGGATGTCCACCCATCAGTTGTAAATGCAATATAATGCGAATTAATTAAGTTCGTTTTAACTTTTGCGTATAATTGTGGCAAAATTGATTTAGATAGTTTTTCGTGAAGGTAATTTATAGCTAGGATTCAATAAATTAATTAATCTTTGAAATTAAATAATTTCTACGAGGCTTAATGATTGAAATTCTTTTGCAACCATTATCCCTAATTGCTCGTCTATAAGTTTTTGTTTAGACAGAGAAAGTAGTCGATTAATAAAAAAATATACACTTGTATATGTAGGACAATTCTTTGATATATAATTTATATTAGACGACGTTGATGGTTGGTCCGAACTAATTACCTGTTGTTGTTTTGTATATATATCATCTGGTTCATCTACATTTTGATCCAAATACAACGCGTTTTCTTTTCCTAGCTTCAAGTTGAACAATATGTTTTCTTTTTAAATGTTTTAGAAGATTGGCTGTTGAACCTCCCTTATAAGAAAAAGTATTAGTGCAGTATTAACACTTAGCTTTTTCATCACTTATGACTGAAAAGTGGTTCCATACTACACTCGTCTTTTTATCCATTGTATGTACAAAATAATTAAATAGCAAACTTGTATATTACTTTAATCGAAAACTGAAAATACACACACGGAGTACCTATCACACTACACAGATAGGACAAAAACAATAAAATGAAGGACAGAATTGAAAATTTTAAAAGCGATAAGAGTTATAAAAGGTATTTTATATAGTTAACACAAGGGAGCAGCTCATAGAAGAAATCAAAACAACAAATCGTTGATAAAAAAACTAATGAAACAAAACTAATACCAAATCTTTTTTCTTTTTAATATCTCATAATGCTCAAAAAAACCTAACTTCATTAAACTTACACAAGCTGGGTTTTATGGTAAATTGTATATAATTTTGTAAAATATTATTAATATTTTATTTTAAACGCATAAATAGTTGTATTTTAAAGTAGTGAATTAGGTACTTTATTAAAATTAAAGAAAATAATAATTAAACGATTAAAAAATAAATAAAACATCTTATGCATATTTCTTTGCTTATACCTATTTGAATAATTTGGTTATAAGTTATAAATGTATTTAATGTAATCGAAAAATATTTAAAATCATTAAAAATAATCGATTATTTTTATTAAATGAATAAACGATACTAATTTCGAGTAAAATTTCAAGAGATTCTCTCCATAGACAAGTATACTCGATCGATTATTTCGATTACTAATAATTTGGAATATGCCCCATCACTAATTTAAAATATATAAATGGATACGATTAGCAGTTTTAAAATTGGTGGTATACGTTTTTTAAGTAATTAAAAAACCAAGAGATAGCGCTAGTTTTCCATCACTGTAAGAAGAGGGCAGCCTAGTCGACGGTTGGTCAAATAGATAGGGATGGCAAAAATTGATACAATATCGATATTAACCAGTATCGATATTCTGTTTATAGTTTATCGATAATGATTTATAGAGTTCAATTTGATATCGATACATCGATATATCGAACAAAAATATCGATATTTAAAGGAAAACTAATTTAATCCTGTATCACTAACACCATTATCACATGTTGGATAGAAAAATTCAAAATAATTTGTTTGAATGAACAAATTTACCCTCATATTTTTTAATAGTAAAAAATTGTTTATCTAACTAAAATCGCAGTTCCAATGTGCATTTTTAAGTCTGGTTATCACTCATTTTTATTTGAAATTGATATTTATTCTTAAATTAACAATAATGATAAGTTTTTATATCCTTCTATTTCCTGAATTTAATATGCTACAAAGGGTGATGGCTCTCTTTCACATAGAGTCAAAAATAATTCTTGGCTAAGTCAATGATGAACAGGACGGGTATTACGGCCGGCTTGCACCAGAGACCGGTTATCGCCAATGAGAAAATCACAAGAAAAATCTTGTTGGCAGTATGGTGATCGAAACCGGGATACCGTGCGCCAATATATATGTTTCTACTCACATATAGGCCAAGCTGATCCTTTATTCTTAAATTAAAGAAAATTGAACTTCATTTTTTTTATAAAACCTCATAAATTAAATTTATTTAATCTATTATTATAGCCTTATATGACTTGTACTTTATAATTAAATTTCAAATAATTAAAATAGAATTACTTAAATTAAAAAAAATTAATATGTAAACAAAAATAAGTAGACACATTATTTGAAAAAAAAAAATCAAAATAAAAGATATTTAATACTTTTTATAAAATAAAAATATAACCATATATATATATATATATATATTGTTTTTAATTATAAGACTTTTGAAAACCAATCTGCTTCACTTAAAGAGCTCATGAAGACAAGCTTAGATAAATGTTTCCCTGTTAATCTGTTTCTTGCCTTGGATATTGTTTGACCAGTTTTGGAAAATAAGCGTTTTGATGAAACAGAGGTACCAACAATACTTAATTTTTGACAAGCAATGTAATATAAGTTTGGGTATAACGATTTAATGTATTCCCAAGCTTCAAGGGGTTTAGTGTCTATTTTTTCTACAGGCTTTCCCAAATAATCATACAACTTAATATATTAAGATAAAATGTAAATAAAAATAAGATTATTAAGATATTAAATTGAATAAACCTCTTGATACATTGGAGTTGTTTTATTCTGAACCTGAATGGTTGATACTGAAGTATGATATGACCAAAGATCAAATGAATCTAATTTTTTATCTACAAATTCATTTGATGGAGTAGGTTCAAAACAATGTACACATTCAGAGTTTTTTTTTTGTATCAACATATTTTTTACAACTTCAATAGCTTTTTGGCAGTGAACAGGGTCTTTGAAATGAAGATTCTTGAATCTGTAAGAAACATTTAAATAAAATGAACATCTTCAATTTTATTAAAACCTAATTTTAACCTGGGGTCTAGTAATGTAGCTAGAGGAAAATCATTGAATATTTCTAGATTCTTAAAACGCTTGTCAAGTTCAAATAATATTTTTTTTTTTAATTCAATACCAATTAAAAATGTAGTTTGACAATTATTCACCGCACTATTGATACAATTAATCAATGGTAAAATTGTACTAATTGTGGTATATTTTTCACCAGAGATTTTTTTTGTCAAGTCTTCAAGTGGTTGCATCAAATTTTTAACTTCTTTGACAATCAATATTTCTCTAGTTGTTATTAAATCAGATGCATTTGGCCTTTCTAATAAAATAGAAGAAACAACACGATACAAATGTAAAAATCTATCATATAATATAAACTATTCCAACGAGTCTTGATGTCCAATATTAATTTTAACACTTTTCCTTCTGGTAAACCTGAAAAACAATATTTTAAAACATAATAAACATTACATCTTATTTTATACCATCATTTTTTTTAATACTCCTTAATTCATCATTAGCATTAACACTATTTTTTATAAATTTTACAATATTTCTAATTTTGTCAATCAACTGATTTAAATCAATACAATTCTCTAATGCGTTATTAGCTATAAGGTTTATAGTATGAGCAAAACATGGGATTGTTTTATATATGCCAAATGTATCACTAGCTGCTTTTTTCATATTTGCAGCTAAAAAAGAACAATTTAAATTTAATGAGAATGTAGTGCACAAATGTAATAAATAGACATTACCATTATCAGTTACAATAGCAATAATTTGGTGATTACTAATATCCCATTGAGTCATAATAATTTCAAATGCCTCACTAATATTTTCAGATGTATGAGACTTACTTAATTCATGTACACCTAATGTACCTAATATTTAAACATTTATACATTTTAATTAATAAATACGTAAAAATAAATAATTAGATCATAATAAGTAATTTGAAATAATACCACATATAAATTGAGTGCCTTCTAAAAAGTGTATAGTAACACCAATATAACTTTTCATTTGAAAACCTGTCCAAATATCTGATGTTAGTGTAAAATTATTGTTTTTCTTCAACTTATTAGAAAACACTTTAGATAAATAGTCATATTTTAAATCCAATTTATTTTTTATAGTATTCCTAGATGGAAATGTGTAAAGGGGACAAGACACTTGTAAAAAATGTCTAAATCCACTTCCTTCAACAGTGGAAAATGGTACATTATCCTTGCAAATATAATAAATTAATGCATCAGTTATTTCTGAATTTTTCATTCCTCCTGCTATGAAAATTTATAAATTTAATAAAAAAACCAATTCTAATAATAAAGGGCATGTGTTACTTTTTTCCTAAACTAGTTTTTAGTTGGTAAATTATAATAATTCATACATACATACATACATTCTCAAAGGAAATTTTTTCTTTTCAATTTAAAGCTAAACTTAAGATGAAGTAATTCTACTACCATTTGAATTTTATTTTACTGTATTGGAATACATTTATAATATGTTAGAATATACTAAAATTTAATTAAATTATTCATTTTTTATAAAATTATTAAAATAAAAATTGATCTTTTTTTAATTTATTACACATTTTATCTAACCTTAATAGTAAAATAAGTCTTGAAATAAAATCTTATTAAGAGAAAAATAATTGTTAGAATTTTCTGAATATATTTAAAAAATAGACTTGTGCCCTATTAACAAATTGTATTTAATTGTAAATTCAATAGTCAAATTGATTACCTTTCATTGATGATACATAATTAAAACAGTGCTCAATTAAAGGTTGGCATTTTTTTCTTTGGGAGATATCTAACAAAACAGTATCACTAGTTTCACTAGTTGATGAAGTAGGATTGTCAAATTGCTAAAAAATTAAGATAGAATTACACTTCATATTAATTTCGAAATTAAGTCATGTTAATAGCATAATTATACTCACAATTAACACATTGTCAATCTGGTCAGCATCATCACTATCAATTTTTTGTGATTCCTTTATTTTTGAATTTAGTTGGTGTGCATTTTTAAGATGAGAGTGAAGATTAGATGTGTTGCCAGACGTTAAACATATTTTACCACATACTTTACATTTAGCAGACAATTTATTGACTTTGTCAAAATGACGCCAAATTTTACTTATTTTACCCATCACAAATAATTATACAAAGTACATAAATACAAAAAATTACTGAAAATCTTTGTAACACAGAATTGCATCAAATATTAAGACACTTTGCTGCCGCGCCAATTTGTTTTATTATTGAACAGTATATTTATACAACAAAACATGGAACATAAAATATAACAACCAATAAGCTTTAAATAAAAAATAAATTAGTATTATTAACAATTTATTGTTATCATTTATATATTACTAGTAAATTGTTTGATTTCATTAATCATGTTAAATATCATTAATTTGCTAAAAAAAAAATATTATTTATACCTCAATAATTTTAATTAATTGTAAATTTGTAATTTTCGATATATCGATAATATCGAAGGATTAACATCGATTGACGATAAATATCGAAAGTTTTTAATCGATATATCAAAACAATATATCGATATATCGTTGCCATCCCTACAAATAGACAGTTACTGTAGGTCGTAGTTACACAATCCCGAACAAGTAAGAACTACTCAAGTACTCTTTAGTCACTACTGTAATCATTTTGGAATCAACTGTATTTTGTACCGACAGAACGACCAAGTGTAATCGGTCCTACTCGTTCCACCAATTTACTCGTTACTTTGTATCGATTACACGAGTACCGACCAATCACTAATCCAAATCAGTCCGATGGTAATACCCGGGCGCGTCATGCTGATTTTAAATTCTGTAGATTCTTTTTATAAGTTATTATATTTTGGAGAAAAATACATAATTTTCATATTTAAATAACAAATGCTTAATATTTGTGTAAACAAAAAATATTTACGAAATAATGCTTTTTGAATGTAATAAAAATTCTACATCTTGTTTTTGTAAACGTTTGTTTTTATTGACAATGAATTCAATGTTTTTTTTATCACATATTTTTGTAGTCGATAAAGATTTGCAAGTTGTCCAGCTTGAAACTGTTGATTTTTTTTTAGTACATTTCGGTATTGTTGGTGGAGACCTAAATTATAAGACTAATTTTAATAATTTTTTTAAATATTTAAACCTTAAAGGAAATTTAATAACATACATAATGTCACATTGCGTAGTCCGACCACAAGAATTATCGACATTCGCAATTTTTTCTATTATTCCTTGCAAGGTAGCCACAAGAAATGAGTTTCTAGTATTAAAATAAATAAATAATCATATGTAAAATTTTTCCAAGAAAAATTACCTTTCCATTAAGTCTGGCTCAATGGAATCTACTTTTAATAATGACCGTAAATTCATATCAATTCGTACTGGTGTTGGATTAAAAATGTTTATTGATTCAAAATTATCTGTTGTTATTGTATACACAATTTTATAATGTAAATTCCATATTAGAAAGAAAAAATAAAGTCCAAAAATCATTTTAAACTTTTATCAGCCTAATTATTAAAAAAAAAATTAATCAGTAATGTACGTTGTTGTATAAATTAATTAGTTTTTTTAATCTGTTAATAAATATTTAACGAAATAACTACTTATAAATAAAGCCAGGTGATATATATATATTGTTTTTTATTAAAATTATGATTTTCGGTCTATTCACAATATAATATTTATAATATAATTTTTCATAATATTTAGATGTGTGTGCAGTAGGTGTTAAGCATTTTAATAGTTGTGTATGTGATAACCTCCACTAGTCAACCAGTCTGATATCTGTCATCCTATCGTCATCAGCTGACCGTACACTGTGCACCTATACCAATATTGTTATTTCCCCTCAATGAACGTGTTCAAAGTTGGCACCACCACCACCCGGCGTCACGATCACCGGCTGCTATACTATCGAGACGACAAGTTGTCTGTCTGGATGTTTCTTTTTTATGGCGAAAACCACGTTTTCTTTTAGTTTTTTTTTGTCCTCCGTTTTTTTCTTAAAAATAAAACGTTGAGTTGATCAAGTGTCACTTTTGTTCCTCAAGTGTGTCCAACCAGGCTGTTCAGTTTTTTTGTTCTCCGTTTTTTTTTGTTAAAATAAACGTCGATGATGGCGTAAGGCGCGAACTATGGCCGGTGGTGGGCCGGCACTCCTCAAGAAAACAACAACAAGTACAACATGAAACCCCCCTTTTCAAACCCCTCATTAATGTTATATATATAGCACCTTTTTCTTCTTTTTGTTTTTTCTTTTCTCTTTTCTGATGAATATATATATTTAAAATTATACATATAAATTTTCAATAATTAAAAACAAAAAATATTATATTATACATGGCTTTTCTCTTTTTATTAACATTTGTTTTTTTTTTTTATCAAAACCTAAGAGCTCCGTCAACAAGTACTATCTTGTTTGGCACGGCTACTAGGTCACTGTCCAGTGTTCCCCCTGGGCAGTGGGTAAATAGTAGGCCCTCTGTTTTGACTAAAACCACATATTGAAACTGAAAAACCCAAAAAACTTACATTCTCTTTTGATCCTCAAATGTCTTCTACCACTTTTTCCCCTCTACTCAAACAATTTAATACTGATCCCCATTCAACTTTCCCTAGACAACCAACCCTTCCACCCACTCTTTCCAATAATTTGTTTAAAGATTCTCTGTCTACCCAAACTAATTTTAATGCTGAACCTCATCCTTCTTTTTCTTTAAATAATACTTCTATTCTTTCCCAAGAAAAATTTTCTGATGTTATTCCTGAATTTAATGGTTGTCTGTTCATCTTGAAGCTTTCCTTGTTGAAGTTAATGATTATTTCCAATTTCAAGATATCCCTGATTACCTCAAAATTAATATTGTTCGGCGGCGAATGACTGGTGATGCCAAACAATGGTTTAATGCTCTCACTCCTCCTCCTAATACTTTTTTCAATTTATTGAGCTCTTTCGCCAATATTTTTGGTCCTATAGTAAACAGCTAATGACCCGTAATGAACTTTCTCGTACCTATTCCCATCGTGATACCTCTACTCTTCAAAAACATGCCATTGAATGGATTAATAAAGCAAAATATCTTAACCCTCCCATCGAAAACGAAACTCTTATTTTCCAAATCCTTTCTCATTTTCCTGAAACTGTAGCTAGTCCCTTAAGAATTATTCGTATTAAAACCCTTAATGAACTAATTGACCATTTATCTTATGCTGAACATTTTTATCGTCCTTCTAATTCTAATAATTTTTCTAATAACCCCTCTTATTCTTATGACATTCCTCAAAATAATCGACCCCAGAATCATAATCGTAATAATTCTTATCAAAATAGATTCCACGGACGAGCTCCTTATAATAACAGTTAACCTCAAAATTCCACAAATAATTCTTCCCCTAATCTTTCCAGTACTCCTAATATATCTCAATCACCACCTGCGGGAAACGGCCAATGACCAGTCTCGTGAGGACCGTTTCTGGATCATTTCCCAATGTTCCTCAGTTAAATATTCTTTCTCATCCATTAAGCCTTGATCAAAAAATCTCTCCTTCTCTTAGTTTTCGTCCCGAAATTGAAATCTCTATCTTTAATAACCTCTATACTGCTCTTCTTGATTCTGGTGCTTCTGTCTCTGCTATATCTGAAAATTTATATAACCTGTTAAAAAATAGTTAACTTTCTTTTCCCTTCTTCTTGTTATGTATGACATTGTGTTCATGATCATGTCCCTCTTTTAAACAACAGTAGTGGAGTACTTGTCTGCTATCACTAATAATTGGTGGTTAGTGATACTAGTATGCCCACTTCCCCCAGTCCTTATTTTCAATAATAAAAAACTTCTCTATATTTTACTTTTTGCTTAGCCATTATTTTTATTCAAAAATATCTCTCTTTCTTCATTCTCCCTATTAAATCTCCATTCTTTTATATATTTTTATTTTACAGATACGTTCAGATTTATTCAAAAATAAACAGACGACTTAATTCATTCTCTAGACATCCTACGGAAACATCAAGGTAAATACTAATTAATTAAGTTAATAAGGTTTAAAAAACATTAACTCTTTTAAGTACATGGTCAACATAGGGACAAAGAAATATCGAGTGATCACTAAAAAAATCACTCTGTCTTTCTATTACCTTTTCACTATTCTCATAAACCCTCGAACTCATACCCGAGAAACTTTATTTATTAAAATAAATAGTAACTCCTTTTTACCCTTAAAATTTTAATCTTTTTCTTTTTGAGTTACTATACCAGCCCATCATATCTCAACGTTTTTGTTTAAAAAAAACAGTTTTTTACCATTGAAAAAAAAAAATATTCACTAAAAAGACAACTTGTCACCTCAGTAGTATAGCTGATAAAAACGAGTTTATGTTCTGGTGGTGGCGCTAACAATGAACGGGCTTATTGGGGGAAATACAACAATGTTAGGGACGCACTGTATGAGGCCAGTTGACTTAAAAGACCGGGAGACAGGTATCAGACCGGTTGACTGATGAAGGTAATTTNTGATACCTGTCTCCCGGTTGACTGATGAAGGTAATTTACAATTACTAGAAAATTCTTAATATCTAATGCACATACCACTAGCTGAAAAGATTTTATNATCAGACCGGTTGACTGATGAAGGTAATTTACAATTACTAGAAAATTCTTAATATCTAATGCACATACCACTAGCTGAAAAGATTTTATTTAATTTTATATATAAAAAAAAGGTAATACAAATTCTGCAACATTACAATTTTATTATTAAACTACCTATTTCATTCAATATCTATTAAAAAAAATTATTAATTGAAATATTATACTCTTTCTTATTCCAGTTTACTTTAAAAAAATAAAATATATATACTGTGCTAAACGTAGGTGTAGGATAGAGGATTAAGGGGACTTAGACCTCAGAAATTTAGTAAAATTATATAGATTGTTTTACAAAAACATTTTTTTGGAGTGGGAACAATTAAAATTAGTCCCCACTGAAAATTGATCACTCTGTGCCTATAATTTTTACTAAATTAAATGTTATTACTAATCAAACCTTAGTCGATTATAATGTTTTGTCAATTACAGTAATTAAATAGTAATTTATTGTTTTAAATTTATAATTACTGAATAAGTATAATTTTTATAATGGCTTGAATTTAACCGTAAAATGCCTCCTATCTATGATTATATAATATTAAGAATATTAATTTACATTCAATGTCATATTAATTAGTAATTGTATATAATTTTTAGTACTATTAGCTTCGAATAATATTGCTTGTAGAATATGCGGTGTATAATTTCGGAAAATTATCATTTCTATTTTGGAAATTT